AAATACTCAACGATGAAGTTTCTGATATATGAAGTGCTTAAAAATATTCTAAAAATTTCTGACAACGGTTTCAGCACCAAGGTTTGGCATAACCCACTATATGGTCTGATATATTGCAGAGAGCATTTTCAGCCAAAAAAAAAATATATATATATTTTTTCTGAATTAGTCATTTTAAACAATTTAATAAATTTTTTACGATCTGTATCTTCCGTTATATATACTTGTATATATATAACACTGTTATATATATAGTATATAAAATATATATATACTGTATATAACGGAAGATTCAGATATTTACTATTGTTACGGAAGAAACTGTTGTAATGTTCCCCAGTGTTATTTTTCTTCTGAGACGAGTATGAATAAAGGTCTAAATTACGAATATATTTCTGGTACAATGCGGTTTTTTAATATTATTTTAGGTCTCACAACATTATGGCCCTCCGCGGCCTATTACGGAGATAGCTTTACGTTTTTAGCTTTATCTCAATCATGAATGCGGTTGGTTATGTTTCCTATATAATCATAATTTTGAAAATGTTCTTTTTTTACTGTAGTGGTGTGTACGTTTTATTTCATTATTAATTTAAGCAAATTTAAATAAACATATATGAATTAACAAGCAGTGTTCCCATGTTTATGTATAAGAATATCTATAAATAAAAGAAATAAAAGCTTTATAAACGAATTTTCTTGGTTTTCCAGCTCTTAAATGTTCTAGTTCATTGCGATTACAAAGTAAAACGATTAAATAGTCAAAGCATATAGAAACGCACAAGCAAGGTGAAAACAAGGCAACTCATAACTCTTAGGCGATAATACAATTTCATTAGTACAACCACGCCAGAACCATTAGTACCTGATCCTAGCCCTTTTAAGGTTGACATTGCTACTGCAAAATTTGAAGGTTATAAATCGCCAGGTAACGATAAAATTCCGTCAGAACTGTTTCAAGCAGGAGGTGAAATATTACGTTCTAAGATCCATAAACTAATTAATTCTATTTGTAATAAGAGAAAACTGCCTGATCAGTGGAAGGAGTCTGATATTACTGTACCAGTTCACAAGAAGGGTGATAAAACAGACTGTTATAATTATGGGGGGATATCACTGCTATCAACTTCATACAAAATTTTATCCGATATTCTTCTTTCAAGGTTAAGTCCATATACAGATGAAATTATTGGGAATCATCAGTGTGGGTTTTGACGTAACAGATCAACTACAGATCAGATCTTTGCATTCGTCAGATAGTGGAGAAAAAGTGGGAGTACAATGAGGCAGTACATCAGCTACTCATAGACTTCAAGAAAGCCTATGATTCAGTTAGGAGGGAAGTATTGTACAATATTCTGATAGAGTTTGGGGTAACCATGAACCTAGTCAATATGTAGAATATGTACCTTCCCCTTCAAGAACATCACAATTTCCGACAAACTTGTTTTTCAAAATAATGCAGTTCGGATGAATGATTAAAATATTGTAGTAGATGATCAATTTTTACGTTGTAACACAAAGTTCACGTAATACGAGACACAAAATATGTTTATCGTTCTTAAAATTCATATTTTGGATTATCCAAAACAGCATATAATACTGTAACGTGTTTTGCATAGCGCAAATATGTCACAATATCATAAACTGAGATAAATTACACGAGGCTGTGAAGGAGTTTAAAATATCCCAGAAGTCAACTGAATTGGTAAGAGCAACCCATAACGTGTAAAGGTAAAGTGCAGAACAATCGGAACCATTTGGAACAGCAACGGGCCTAAGGCAGGGAGATGCTGTGTCCTCTATTTTATTTAACATGACATTAGAAAATGTGGACAGAGATTCGGGGATAGAAACTAAAAGAACTACAGTAGAACTTGGTTATAACGTCATCAAAGGGACCTAAAAATAGTGTCGTTATAAACGAATGTCGTTGTAACCGAAATGGGCACTTCCACAGTAGTCTTATGTTAGTCACGTAAAAATCTACCAAAAACCGAGTTAAAATGTTGCATTTTTTAGTGAAATACGTAGTTAAGTACAGACTAACGTAACATTAACGTGGAATTGCCCAAATGTGTAATATCAAAGACATATTACAGCGCTTTTCACTGACAATACACACAATATTTCACGAATCACTTTAACTTTCTCTTCAATGCTTAAAACTTTCCTTTTCATTGCCATGTTTTCGCTACTGCACTTCTCTGGGTGTAGGCAGGAACACTATAGGGTAAGTAGACAATGTGAGGTCCTGTTAGACGAGATTCTAGGAAAGGAATGCAGTTAACAACCTGCCGCGTCCTCTTGCACTATTCACGCAGTCCCACCCCACACCCTTGTTTTCGCATAAAACCCACGCTCCTCTTGCAGCCCGCGGTCGTATTCTTCCAGGACAGTCACGTCAGCAAGTAGAGAAAGTGAGGGTGGGCAGACACATCGAACTTTCCCACGATATCAGAGAAATTCAGGAATGAAAATGACGTTACATACGAGGTTGATGCATTTGTGCATGTCGTACTAAGCAAGGTATAAAAACAGTTGCTTTATGAGGAATTAGTTCGTACCATTGAATATTTGACGCAATAGACAAGGTGTCGCAGAAACCGATGTTGCTATAACCAAGTTTTACTGTATATATAATAAAACAGCCGAGATACTTGTATATGAAGACTACATTGTTTTAGTGGGATGAACCATCGGTGTGCTGAAAGAAGCATTTATATACCTCAGTGAAGCAGCGAAGAAAATGGGACTTAACAATTATCTGTAAAATCTAAATAGTGCAAGTAAAAAGGACACCTAATTCAAGAGTTTTTAAAGTTTGACCAGGAATCCGAAAAGGCGAGAGAATTGAAATATCTTGGGATGACTTTCAGCGGACTGTACCTGGTTATATCCCAGAAGACTGTACTCATAACCACCGCTGTGAGCACCTCAGAACTTGGATCTACACTAACGGAAGAAAATAACATGAAGATTGAAATAAATATACAGTTTTTACGGAAAATCAATATAGTTATGGCCTAAAGAAACAATTAAGGTCACGATATTTAAGGAGACAAAATAAGACGCTTGTACTGTCTGTGGTTACGTATGGAAGTGAAAGCTGGCCCCTAAGATGAAAATCAGCTCCGAATCTTTTAAAGAAAATTACTAAGAAACTATGGTCCAATTATGGAAAATGGCAACTGGAGATCAAGGTATAACCAAGAACTTTATATATAGTGAAAGTAGGTCTGTTGAGATGGTTGGGACATTTTAGAATGCAGGATCAGAACACTGAAGGAAGTTAAGTACGTAAACCAGAGGGTACTCCACGAGTACGCAGACCTACCGTCAGGTGGCTGGATTCAGTTGAAGAAGACTTGAAGATAATGGGCTTTAGAACTTGGAGACGAAAGTCACAGGATCGGGACCAGTGGCGAGCAGTCATAAAAGAGGCCAAGGTTCATCATGGACCATGGCGCCCGAAGAAGAAGAGAAGAAGAAGAAGATGGCAGAAGGAGGAGGAGGACGAGGAAAGCTAGATGTACTGCATACAAAACTATCTATCGAAATCTCCGTAAATTCTGATTTGCTTGTGTGGATGGCGCATGTCCCAACCAAATACTCGGGGTCCATAGAAAGTGGCGAACACTACTTCCGTGTAATACTTCTGTCGAATTAGAAATAACTTTAAAAAAACCGAAAAGCCATATGAGTCGATTTGGCTGCTTTAATGTGGAGCGAGAAAACAATGTACTTTTTTGTGTAAAAATTGAGCATACACTTTTCACTCAGAGGCAACAATGCTCATTGGAACGGCCCTTGAAGAAATACAGTGTATACGAAAAAGCATAACAACTTAAGAAGCCATAAAAGTAGTGAAACTTGAGGAGCTGAGTACCAGCGCATTACTTTCTCATCCTAAGCCAATAGAAAACTGTAGCGCCTGGGGACATAACTATGGCAGGGAATCTCTTTCAAAAACAGGCACTTTTATTGGTTCAAGAAGTACACGGGAATGTAAGAAGTTGCTAGGATTTCAGGCGGATAAGTGCCTCAGTGTTGTGTCAAATGCGGTGATTGGTGATTTTAAGGCTTGGAATTCTATCACAAGAAAGTTACTTAATTAACGTATTTTACTAGCGCGCTGCTCTGAAGTACCTGCGAATGACTGATTGCACACGTGCTTAATTATTCGCAATTGCGCACACCACCATGAAGACGTATAAGGAAGTGGAGATACAGCTCCACCATTCTTAGCCGCGGCACTAGGTTGAAGTGAATGGTCAGCTGCACGCCCTGGCCACCTTACCCCTGGAGAAAGAGCCCCCGGTACCCATTAAATATAAGGCTTGGGTGGCCAAAGAGCCTGTCTGGAAGCTGTGATTAAGAAAAACATCTCTTGTCCAGTCGGGAATCGAAATCTGACCGTATAATCTTCAGCCCACTGCTATACCGACTGAGCTATTACTGTTGTGGTAATTACCTTGTTAACAGCAACAACGTGCTGCTCGCTGACTTCGTGCGCAGACCTGTTTCAGTTACGACAGAAATGAGATCGCCACAGAAGTGCTACTCCAGTATTCAGCACGTGTCTGTTCGCACAATCGGATAACTTTCTTATACCCACCTCACAATGATACTGAAACATTATTCGCATTCATATTCTTTGCAGTTATATAAAATGGCCTGTCAGCCAAAATGTACATTATTTATTTCCTACAGCAATTTAACGTACAACGTACAATAATACCGAAGCGAAATATTTGGTATGTCTCACTCGGAACGAATATTCAAGACCTGAAGAAATGTCAAAATATTTTATAAAACTGTAGTATGATCACGGTATTAAAAGCGCGCACATATACCTGTGTGTATTGCAAAGTATCAACCCGTGACTGCCTCGCGGACATTCCAACAGGAAACCCGAGTTTCTCACAATATACGTTCACTAGTCACGCTGAAAGCAAAAGTATTAATGACATGTAAAACAACAATAACTAAATTCTTACCTTCTGCAGAACTCATGGCTGCGATATTAAAATCCGAAGACACACTGAATTTCGTAATTTTAACCTCCTATTCGTAACGCCCTTCTACTTCAGACACTGCGCTGCGACTGCTCCGGTAAAACACACCCACTCGCTCGACAACCTCGACCATGTCCTAAGAATTATCGTTCCAGGCTCTGCCGCTAGATGGAACCGCGCAACAAGAAATGCATAAGATCTAACTAAGCCCAAGGCGTCTGTTACTTCATACACAACATTCCTATATTTATATAAAATAGATATGTAAGAAAAGTAAAAGAAGTAATTGCACTAATTATTTACAGTATACACAGATTTAAGTCAAGATCTATATTAACAATCGCGGGACCACCGCTATTAAAGAATAAGATGGTTATTAGAATGTGCTACAGAAGGCCGGATGGGCATTGACTAGGCCTCTTTTGTACGTAATATTTACTTTTTTCCTTCTTACAAAAAAAAAAAAAAAGATCTAAGCCGATTAGAGGCGTGCAAGACTCATTCGCATTGACAATAGAGAAGTAGTATGCTTCTGCTTACAGTTGTAGGCCCTAGAACCATTGTATGCATAGCATATATTCAGTTCAGAACGCGAATCTATTTTATTAAGCTGCTGTTTAACAGTGTTACATACCCGTGAGAAAAAACAGTAACACAGAATAAAAGAAATTTGTTCAGACCATAGCAGCAGTATAACAAAGCCAACCCTAACACGTATGTTCGGGGCGTAAGCCATACGAGGCGTAATACGAGTATAAAGACTCCCCTCAACTTCGAACGTTGCACCTAGTTTCGTCAAGTTCTGGACACTGAAATATGGCTGCATAAGTAGTACACATGTCAGAGGAATGCCACCACTAACATTTGGGTAAATCTGAAGTTAATAAAGCATAGTTTCGGCTTAATTCAGGGAAAACGTTTAACAGGAATGCAGGGGCGGCCCGCGTATAGGCACTGCGGAACTGCAGCACCCCCAATTTCCACTTGATATTATCGATAACATTTATATAATGAGTCCTTTTTTCTTTAATTCTTTCTTTATACTTGTACAATACAATATATAATCCTTATGCTTAATGTCAGTAGCCAAATCTTTGTATGGAACTGTGAGTTTCACAGTTCCAGCGGCGAGGTGTTCGTTGACTGTGCGCATGCGCACATAGGAAGCTACACGCTAGGCTGCAAGGGAGAGGGAGCACTACAGGAACGACAGTGCCGACCGGTGCCGACCCTGGCGTGTTAGTGGAAGGTGTTTTTTTTTTCACTCCGCGTGTGTTGTGCTTAAAAAATATGAGTTAATTTTAGAATTAGATTATTATCCTGCTTCCAGCTATTCTATGGGATTCATTTTTTCGGTTCTTTTATTTAACAGAAAACTTTAACCATGGCCTTGCATCCCCGAGAAATAAGTTATGTGACTGTAAGTGAACTTCAACAG